CATACAGGGTGCCCATTATGTATGGAATATAGTATATATCTTGGTAAGTATCAACTTTACAAAAAAACATTTTATACAAAAGTTGTTTAATATTTGATTTGCCATAATAAGACACCATTCAATTGTTTTTATTTCAGAAAACAAATGAGCAACGAATAACATTTAATTTTTTTTAAATGGCAATGTACCCTTTCGTTAGGCTCATTTGATAGAGATTTTTTTTCTCTTTACGATGACGTAAAATTTTAGTACCCTTATACTAGAAAATTTTTGAAAAAAATGTAAAAACAGTTTATTAAGTTAATTTTGCCAATAACATGAATCTAGATATCCGAAATCTTATTTGTCCTAACAATTGAATGTAAGCTATTGAATGTGACAGAATCTTGTTTATTTAAATAAGTTGGTAGATCAAAAAAGAAAAATGGTTCATTTAACAGAAACTGAACGCATAGAAATTTTAATTATGGTCGGTTATGGGGATCGCAAACGAACACAATTAGAAGTATGTGAAATTTTCAATGAGCGTTATCCACATCGAGAACCAATCACTCAATCAGTAGTTAGCAAAACTTCGAAACGTTTTAGGGAAACTGGTAACGTTAAAGATCTGCCAAAGACTGGTCCGCAGAGATCTGCAACAGATGAAGATAAAAAGATCGATATTCTCATAGAAATCGAAGAAAATCCAAACATTTCAACTCGTCAGTTATGTTTAAACCATGCTCTAAGTAAAGGTTCAATACACAAAATATTACATGCAGAAAATTTACATCCGTACAAACCGACTTTATTGCAAGAATTATCCGAAGATGACTACGGTCGACGTGTTGAATTTTGTGAATTTATGATGGAGCGAATCAACAGCAATCCAAATTTTCTCAATAATATGGTTTTCTCTGACGAGGCTACGTTTTGTTTAAATGGTAATGTAAATAAGCAAAATTCTCGATATTGGGCCGCTAAAAATCCCAAATTGGATGATTCAAAATCATACTCAAACACCACAGAAATTAAACGTATGGGTGGGAATTTCTGCAGATCACATAATTAGACCTTTCTTTATTCGAGGTACTCTAACTGGTCACCGTTATTTACAATTATTGCAACAGCAAATTATCCCAGCTTGCCAAGAAAATCTTGATGATCTTTGGTTTCAACAAGATGGGGCACCGCCCCACTATCATTTAGATGTACGGCGATATTTAGATACGATATTTCCGGCCCGTTGGATAGGCAGAAGAGGGTCTGTAGAGTGGCCACCCCGATCTCCGGATCTTACACCTTGCGATTTCTTCTTCTGGGGATATTTAAAATCTAAAGTTTATGTAAACCCGACCTCAAAATCTGACAGAATTAGAGCAACGAATAAAAGATGAAGCTGCAGCTATTTCTCCCAGATCGCTAAGAAATTCTTTTCAAGCCTTTGAATGATGATAGATTGGGCCACTGCCTTGCATTTAATGGTGAACATTTTGAACATTTATTGTCGTGAAAACCATTTTAGCGCTAATTTCGTTTTGTCTTCAAAGTTTAATAATTTTCATTTACACTAATTTTTAGTTTATTTGTTTTATTTTGTATGTAGATTTAATTTATGGTAATAATTCGAGGTAGTTGACGATCTCGGATATCTAGATTAATGTTATTGGTTAAATTTTCTTAATAAACAATTTTTACATTTTATGCAAAAATTTTCTGATGTAAGGGTACAAAAATGTTACGTCATCATAAAGAGAAAAGAAATCTCTATCAAATAAGCCTAATAAAAGGGTACATTGCCATTTAAAAAAATTAAATGTTATTCGTTGCTCATTTGTTTTCTGAAATAAAAACAATTGAATGGTGTCTTATTATGGCAAATCAAATACTAACCAACTTTTGTATAAAATGTTTTTTTATAAAGTTGATACTTGCCAAGATATATACAATATTCCATACATAATGGGCATCCTGTATATATTTCTCTGAATGGGGTAAGCTCGAAACCGGTTCCGAATAAATTGATATTAAGCAAGTAAGAAGTTTTTTATATAGTTTAAATTAAAAAAAAAAAAAAAAAAACTTAACATAGTAGTCTGGAAACTAAGATTTAAAGAAAAATATCAACACTTACTTCAATGCCCTTCAAGGCCCCCATTCAAAGCCCTTGTATATTCAACTAAGATATAATACAAAAAATATAATTCTTCAAAGTTTTGAATACTTTAACGTCAATCCAAACAGCACCATAACAATACGCGCTGCCCTCTATGAACAGATTGCTCAATTTATTAATTAGTGCCAACCTTAAACAATCAAAAATACCCAAATTAATCAGCATTGTCATTTTTGAGGTTAACTTTCGTTATAAAAAATGTATAAAAATTTAAAAAATGAACAAATTGAAAGTATTGGTGGAGTTCTAAACGACAAAAACCGCCCATTAAAAGAACGTTTTCGCGCTCTATTTACTTTAAAATCAATAGGAGGTGAAACCGCTATAAAATCAATCGAAAAATGTTTTTCCGACGATTCAGCCTTATTAAAACACGAATTGGCTTATTGTTTGGGCCAAATGCAAGACGAAAGGGCCTTGAGGGTGTTAATAAACGTGTTAAAAGATAAAAAACAAGAGGCGATGGTCAGACATGAAGCAGGTAAAATTCTAACCTCAAATTTTTTTTTAATAAATTTAATGTTTTTAAGCTGAAGGGATTGGGGCAATAGGAAAAACGGATTCTTTACCAATTTTGGAGGAATACATAAACGATAAATCGATTGAAGTCGTGGAAACGTGCCAATTAGCTATAAAAAGAATAAAATATTTATCATCAGAAAAAATCCCATCAACAAAATCAGAGTTTAATTCAATCGATCCAACTCCTTCTTTTAATAATAAAAATGAAAAAATCGATGATTTAAGACGCATTTTACTTGATCCAAATGAAGATTTATTTGAGAGATACCAAGCTATGTTTTCCTTAAGAAATTTAAATTCTGATGATTCCATAAAAGTATTATGTGAAGGATTAAATTGTGATGGAGCGCTGTTTAAGCACGAAATTGCGTTTGTTTTGGGGCAACTCAGACATCCAAAATCAATTGAAGCTTTAACAAAGAGTTTAAGGGATGAATCAGAAAATGAAATGGTTAGACATGAATGTGCAGAAGCTTTGGGATCAATAGCTGATGAGGAGTGTTTTGCAGTATTAAAAGATTATCTAAATGATTCCAAAAGGGTTGTGAAAGAAAGTTGTATAATTGCTTTGGATATGTGTGAATATGAAAATAGTCCTGAATTTCAATATGCTAATTTTTTAGATTAAATTAATAAAGAAATAAGTTGTTAAATAAATAAAAAATAATTTTTTTTTTAAAATAGTCAATTTTAATTTTAACTACTTACTTAATTACTTATTTTAATAAATTAATCACAATCACAACCTTCTTTTTGGATCGGAAAATTAAAAAAATTAATTATATAAAAGGAAAACAAAAATATATTTCTTCTTTTTACTTCTTTAACGATGCTAAAATCCATGTATATAACAATTTCTGCTTCGCATTTGAGACTTGGTATTTTAACGAATTCAAACCGTCCGTTTTAAATTTGGTTTTTCCCATTTTTAATGTATTATACCTAGAAAAAAGAAATTGCATTAATATTTTGTTGGGTTATATTATTTTAAAAGATTTTTCATTATCTTTAAGGGGTAATTAATAAAAAATTTGCTTGTTATAAAGTAATTAAGTTATTAAAGACAGGTTGAGAAATTCAATGATGAAAGCTAAATATGAGAGAAATTAAATCATTAAATAAGGAGTTATAAAGAAAGCCTTTAACAATTCGTTTATTAACTCAAACGTTTAATATAAAACGTTATATTCACCTTTGTATTAAATGTACAAAATACAGGGTGATTTATTAGCTCACCATCAAACTTTGACATGATAGCTAATCCAATTACCAAAAAAATTTTTAAAGAACATAATATGTCCTATTTCAATTATTTACGAAATTATAACACTTTAAAGTTTTAATTTTCATATCATAATTAGGGTAGGAGCACCGTTTATGGCCACTGTACCATTTATGGCCATTTCAAAGAAAGCCGTTTCGCATTAAAATTCTAATAGACATTAGGCGCTACCGTGGGGTGCAAGGGGTGCACTACACCCGGGCGCCGCCTTTTTAATTTTTCTCCAACAATATCTTATCTTTCTTTTGCAGTATTTAGGCCTGTCAGCAGGAGCTAGTCTTCAGAAAGCAGTATTTAGTCTCCACAAAGCAATTTTAGTCTTTAGAAGGCAGTATTTAGTGTTCCAGACGCTGCATTTAAACCTGTCGGAAGTATCTAGTCTTCAGAAAGCAATATTTAATCTTCTAGAAGTAGTATCTAGTCTTCTGCCAAAGTTATGTATGTTTTCTCCAAAATATTTTATCTTTCTTTTGCAGTATTTAGACCTGTCAGCAGTAGCTAGTCTTCAGAAAGCAGTATTTCCTTAAGCAGTAGTCCTTATCAAGCAGTATTTAGTGTTCCAGACGCTGTATTTAGACCTGTCGGCAGTATCTAGTCTTCAGAAAGCAGTATTTAGTCTTTTAGAAGCAGTATCTAGTCTTCTGCCAAAGTTGTATATGTTTTCTCCAAAATATTTTATCTTTCTTTTGCAATATTTAGACCTGTTACCAGTATCTAGTCTTCAGAAAGCAGTATTTAGTCTCCACAAAGCAATTTTAGTCTTTAAAAGGCAGTATTTAGTGTTCCAGACGCTGTATTTCGACCTGTCGGCAGTATCTAGTCTTCAGAAAGCAGTATTTAGTCTT